ATCCGAAAATTTATACAGAAACTTAGAACAATAGGACTTTGATTCTCATTGTCCGTAATTTTGACTTCTGATATTGTTTTGGAAGTAATAAATGACTCTATTGTGACAATACCCCGTTTTAATGGTCTTAAATGGATAGATAATAATATCGTCTCGTTATCGAAAACCTCATTGGTATGTTCTTTGTGTCTAACGTTCTTGACTTTATCCCTGGATCAGACACGAATTGTGCTTAGATGGACTGGACGGCTAAAATTTGGTTTATTTTTGTTTTTAGGCCAAAGCTTAAAAAACAATAAGTCAAGACTTAATTCGTTAGCTATATTGGACATTTTAGACATACATATATATGTCGCAGGATCAACAAAGATACACTACTATCGAGTATCGTTATTTTAGAACAACGCCATCTGTTATCATTTGTCGGAAACGTCAAGCAGTGTGCTTGGGTGATGGTCGGTACGGGGCGTGGCATGTTGGCGTCACTTTTGAGTTGGACACGAGGGTGAGCGGTTGTTCTGCCAGCTCGTACCGAACTTACCGCGTTTTCCGAAGTACCCCCAATGGGTGCATTTTCTCCGACATATACATACATAACTTCACGCCTATCTCCCATGGTGGTAGCTAGAGACTATGGAACGCCAATTGCTACGATTCTTACATCCCTCTTACATTCTTCCTATTATTTTGACATTTCAGACAATGATTAAAATTATCCCTGATTTATTTTTCTTGTTCTGTAAACGCATCCAGTTTACAAAACGTAATATCACTTACCCATATAAACGAACGAATAACTGTTTTTCAATCAAATGAAGAATTGTTTCGTATAAGAATTGAACCTGGAAAATAGCCATAACGCCAACAACCTAACGGGTAACCGGGGCTCCGGCTCGACGTGCAGGAGAAGGAACGGGGTGGTTTTTAGTCAGTAAGTGTCTGCCACTCCCTCCCGCCTCACCCAGGCGGGAGCAGTCATTCGATGATTTTCCCCACTTAAAAAAAAAAGCAACTATGCAATCTCAATACAAAATCTATTCTACAGCACAAAAGGTTCCGTTCACGAAGCCCTACAAAAAACTAGTGCAAAAAAAGGATAACAAAGTTGGACCATTAAAACAAAAACTCAATAAATATAAATCAGTCCAGTTTACACCCTGTACAGACCATGAAAATATTAAATTACTCGTATAAATAAATCCCATTGTTCAATTCCGGCCATTACATTAAATTATCGCTTGGAAACTAATTAAAGGGACAATAGAAAAGTTTGAGAAAATAGAACTCTATTGCCATCTGTTTAAGAAACAGTTATTGTACGTTTAATACGAGTTTTAATAACTTGCTTTTGTTCGGGGAATCAAATTAATTTTAACCTGTTTGTTGGAGATAAAGAAGTTTTTATAGTGATAGTAAAGTCTTTTTATATAGATAGATTGTATGAAGATGAAAGAGAAATGTGACGGCACTGTTGGCGTGGGTCCGATTCTTCGTCTGGGTGTCATGTGTATGTGAACTTGTATGTTTGCAAACGCGCCCACGACGCAAAAAAAAATCCTAGTGTGGGGCAACGTTTTTTAAAACAAAAAATAGATAAAATGATGAATGACAGAAAAGAATGAATACAGAAGACGTATTGTGTCGATCATAAGTAGAAGAAAAAGAAGATGATAATAGTCATCTTAATTATTAATTGAGAAATATTTTGCTATTGATTTGTTTCCGTTATAAAAGGAAATATATTAACGATTTATAGTGATTCTGAATTGAAGCCGAGAATCCTAGTTTGGCAATAGCGTTAGCAACAGTTACAACTTTATTCATGAGGTAGAAAAATCATTTATGTAGGCAAATATTTATAAGACTATCGCACCGAACAAGCACGTCTCCAGCACGGTTCCAACCCAGCAATTAATTTATGATTTAAATATTTACTTTAAATCGTATATCGTATGACATAGTGAGACGTCAGTATAAAAATGATGTAAGCTCACCGTCCGCGTGACGTCCGCGCGCCGGCCGCGCTCCGGCGGCGCGTTTATAACCTTTTCGGATTGTTTCCGAAGCATAAAACGCAATGCCGGAGCTATGCTTGATCCGTGCCGGATCCTTGCTTACTAGGTACGCAATGACCTATATTCAACTTAACCAAAACATATGTAGTGAACAGAGTGGAAAGTTCCCTGATATCGGAAAAGGAGGATCCACCGACCAGGCGAGGTGATCGTGCCTGGCGGGCTTTTTGCCCGACAGTAGGGTATACGACTAATTTTTATTTTAATATCCGTCTGGTAGATTATTTAAAAATATTGGACACGTATTTTTTATTTTCTTACGGAAACGAATAGTTTCGAAGATATATTGGTTTGAAATGTCGCGTGACGTCACTTCTCAGTACATTTTATACTAAGAAATGACGTTTTAGCCCCCACTCCTAAACTTTGATTCGTTTTATCTAAGTATTGTTTTATTATATGACAAAATAAAAAAATACGTGTCTAATATTTTTTAATTACCTACCTTACGGACTAATTAGATTTTTAATTTTCATACCCTGTCATCATCCCCATT